AGACACACACACACAGACACACACACAGACACACAGTCAGCTGAGAGACAACGATTGACAGATATATGATTTTGCATACTTGTAATAGCCCTTAGTCTGAATCTGCTGACTTAAAGACTTGAGCAGTAGAGATCGTATAAAGTTCATCTGGAAAACAGACTGGAAACTGCTTTCTTTGTGACCCTTGCTCTTTCAACAAACATGGCTTCTACCTGATAAGCCTTGCTGTGTTCTTTATCATCTGGGAAATGGTTCTTAGGGATCAAAATGTACAAAATTGTATGACTCCAGAAGATAAAGCCAAGGGATAATACAGGAAAAACTATATTTGTGGCAGTTTTCAATAAATTATTTCTTAGTTCCTAATACTCATTCTCATGGACCGCTCCTTTTAGGTGAGCGTGATTTTCGGCTTTCTCAGGAGAGGGCGCTAGAGCAGCGAGGTAGGAGGACTGTAGGCACTCCCCTATTAAAATGTTCCAGTAAACCCCTAACAATGGAAAATGTGGTTTCAGTTGAAATCTATTTAATGCGCCTAAAATCGAATATCTAACTCAGCCTAACCTACCTTCATCATGGTCAGAACGCTAAGGCAAAAATCATCTAACAGTCCCTATTCATAATTAAGTGTTGGCTCACGTAGTTTATTGAATGCTGTACTGAAAGTAACAAGCAGAATAGTTGAGTGAGTATACTTTTGTACCATTCTTAGGCTGGAAAGTTATAAACTGAACCTCTTTGTAAGTTGGAGCCTGTCTGCATTGTTGCTATCTGTGCCTCTGTCTACAGGGTCAGTGTAGTTTTCAGCCCCAACCATATCTCATAATGTGGGTCATCCCTGTAGCCTCAGCCTGGTGGTAGCCCTTTCCTGGGCTTCCTGACTGCAAGCCTGAGCTCTGAAAGATTCTGCTTGTCTGAAACCCAGTGGGCTCCCAGAGTGGCCTGCTTTCCTGTTATCTGCGCTGGTAGACTGTGCTTGTCTGCACTGTGGATGGTTGCTTCCTGCTTGCCTGGGGAGTGCAACCGGGTATAGCTCAGGCAAACCCTATTGTGTGAGGTAAGTCCAGTTCTCTAAGGTCTAAGCATCCTTAGGGAGGGGCATCTGTTCAGGTCTGACTTTCCTTGAGTATTCTTCAGTTTTAGGGTGCTCACAGTTTCCTGGTGTGCCACGGCCACTTATTTCTGGTCACTTAATATGTCCTTCTGCCGCACTTCTTCTTTCAGGCCACTGTATAAGTCAACAGCGGTGTTGATGTTTCCCTTGGTGCCCGGCTGCCTTCCCATTTAGAGAGAGGAATTTATAAAATGCAGCACCAGCCAGTCAGTTGCTGTTTTTCCTTGCTAGCTTTAAGGAGAATAGGGTTATTTTCCTTTCACTCTCAAAGCGAATGGACACTCTGCTTCAATAGCTAGACTGTCATGAGTGTAACTCACATGTGGCCTAGACTTGAGAGGATACAGGAATATCAAAGAGGCCGGTGATCATCCTTTCATTCAGGACAATGTGATTCTTAGGAAAAACAAACAATTGCGAATCAGCTAGTCCAGGGCTTAGTTTGTTTAAATGTAAAACAGACCTAGGGAGGAGTGAATGGGGTGCAGGGAGCCCAGTCACCACCTGGGGTGACATCAAAGCAGGGGAAGACAGTAACAATAATATAAATAGCATAGCTAAACTGAGCAAGTATGTCATTGCTTTGAACTTCTGTGATTTTTATGTTAAAAATCTGGGATTTCACAAGTTCTTGATAGCCTTGTGAGCCTACCAATAGAGAAACCATGAGCTGGCATCAAATGAGCTCCTGTAAGGAAGGTTGTAGACAAAATCGGAGAGGAAAGTGGTCCTCATTGTATCTGATGCCTCACCTCCGTTAAAGTAGCTATACGTCCTTTGCCATTGATTTCTGTGTGGCAAGGTCCTCATGTACCCTGATCACTTCAGAACTGCTGGAAATTAAAAAGCAATTTCAGATAGTCCTTTTTTCTTTCTACTAGTAATGTGAATAAAACCTATGTTTCTCTAATAATAATAATAATAATAATAATAATAATAATAATAATAAATTCTGAATTAGCATGCTATAACTAAGTAGTATCCAGGAAAGTAAAACAAGAGAGCAATGAATTTGGAAACACAAGAATAAAAACCCAGTATTTTCCTAAGTATCCAGAAAAACAAAACCAGTAATTTAATGAAAGATGCTTGGTTACTTCAGCATGGACAGGTGAGGGACTCCTGAGACCCCACTCCTAGCTGAGGAGCTACGAGCTGTTGATGGTGGCAGGTGTGGGGGCAGTCATTTTTTGAGGGTGTGGCTAGTGGTGTTTGCCACACCCCCATGCACACTCGGGCAGCTCTAATTGGATTAAGTGGATTTTTTTTTAAGGGACGTAGAAATTGTGAGAGAGGGGGATTGTGTTGAGAGGGTTCAGGGAGAGAGTTGGAGGCGGGGAGTGGGAGAATAAAATTAAAAAATATAGTTTACATACATGAAATTCTTGAACAACAGATACACTTTAAAACAGATCTGTTAAGTACAGTTGCATACATGTCCTTTTTACACTAGGTGAGTTTCCATCAGATACTAACAAGACAGAAACAAGAAAACCGGCAGAACCCAGCCCAGCTTCCTCTCCTCAGTGGCAGCTACTGATTTGGCCCAAGCTGGCTACTTTTTCTGTTTGGAAACCAGCTGTACAGAGTGAAACCTAAAGTGTACAAAGGAAACTGTGTCTGGTGTCTTAGATAAGAGGCCCTTTCCTCATTCTTTAGGATGAAGCAGCTAACACAAGAAAAACAGCACTGAGGGAGGCTGAGTCAGCTAGCTTGTAGTGACAGGCTGGGAACATCCTAGGTAACCTCCTGAGTTGGTCACAGGACATTCTTTCCTGGAACTTCCAGGTTTCTGGTGTATTCTTAGGACACTGCAACACCTCCACACCCAACGTGATTGGGAAGTGAGTCTCAAAAGAAAAAAAAAAGTGAGTGAACATTGACACATACGTGTTCTGAAACTCCGAGTGATGGTGTGGCTGTGACTACTGTTCTCATTGCCTTAGCAGTGGACCCTGTTAGAAGCTTCTACAGTAAATGATTAAGAAAAAAAGAGAAAGAAAGAAAGAGAGAGAGAAAGGGAAAAGAGAGATACAAAGGGATAAACACACAGGATTTCTAGCGAGAGTTTCTTCAAAGCATGGGGTCAAGTCCAACATCAATGAAGCTACATTCCCCTAAGAATCAGATTTCAAAGTCCCACTGGGTACCTCACTCATTTCCTTGTAACAGGGGAAGGGTGTTGGTTGTAGCAATAGAACAGATGGCAATGCTGTGAAGTTACTGTTTGACATGTCTAAAACAGAAAAGTCAACAAGGCAGAGTGTGTGGATTGACCACAGTCAAATCCTGTAGTGTCTGCACTTGAGCATGTGGAGAGAGGGCAGCCTTAGGGGTGAGTTGCTGTCTGTGCACTCTGTGTTTTGGAGCAGGGTTTCTCACTGGCCTGGAACTTACCAAATGAGCTAGGCTAGCTGGGATCCCACCTCCCTAATGCTGGGGTTTTGTGTGCATGCTCCCATGTCCTGCTGTCTTTAATGGGTTCTGGGGCTTGAACATGTGCCTGCAAGGCAAGCATGTTTTCTTAACATTTACTTGTTGTGTGTGTGTGCGCGCGCGCGCGCGCGTGTGCGAGTCAAGGCAAGCATGTTTTCTTAACATTTACTTGTTGTGTGTGTGTGCGCGCACGCGCGTGCGAGCACATGCCATAGCATATGTGAAGAGCTCAGGGGACTACTTTCAGGAATTATTTCTCTATTTCCATCTTTCAGGTTCCAGGGGCAGAGCTCAAAGCTGGCTGTCAGGCTTGACAGCCAGCACCTTACTCTGCTGAGCCACCTCACCATCCCTGATGAATTAATCTTAAACTGTGTTGGGGGCCTGGGAGCCCCAGAGTTCCTCCACGGCTTTTACTGAGAACAACTGTAGACATTTGCTGAGAAAGACAATTACCCACATGCACGGCTTTTGGGTTTCTGAGTGGTACGCATCTGATGAAATGTCAGTTGGGCATACTGTACTAACTTCAAAATAACCTTGCAGTGTAGTGTGGCTGTTGAAGCCTCTGTCTGGCTTCTTGAGTCATGATGGCCCCTCTGAATGAAGAGAGAAGCATTTGAACCCAACCCTGAGAAAATGCTGGCCTCCCTGGGTCAGTGCACTAGCACAGTATACAAGCTCCACAGAACAAAGCAATAGCTTTGGCTGACTGCTGGCAAGAAACCTCTTGGTGGCTTCTACATTACCAACAAGCAAAAACAGTTTGTGGGGCGTGTTCCCTCTCAGTGGCTGTGCACAGCCTGGTTCCTGGCCCATAACCCCTTCCTCATCTGATTTGTTTAATGAATAGATTTAAACCTCAGGCCACAGAACCCCTTACATATGTTCTCATCGAAGTCATCCTTCAGGTTTTAATAGACCTGGGCCTCAGAATCACTCACATGTTCTCACAAAACTATGACAGTAGAAATCAGGTTTGACATTAAGGAAAACCAACTTTTAAAAAATATCAAAACAGCCTGATTATGTAGCTCACTAAATTAATTCGATTAGATTAGCCCACAGCCTGCATGGGACAGCAGCATAGATTCACTTTTGAATAGGCTTAGACTCTGGACTTACTACTTACAGGTTTAGAACAGTTGTCTCTGTCAGTAAACTGGTGAAGATGACAGGGGACTAACACTAACCCTAAGGAGTCATCACTGGGCCACACAGAACATCATCCTGGGACCTCTCACCCAGTTAACACAAGTATAGAGTGGCCACTGGTCAATTATAAACATCAGACAAAGGTGGAGAGATGAGTAAAATACTTGTTACACAAGCCTGATGACCCAAGTTCAATGCTATAACCCACAAATTTATCTAACTTCTACACGAATCCTGTGGCACTCACATCCACCCACACAGCATGTTTATAGACAAATATATACACACAAGCATATAGAGTTTTTTTTTTTAAAAAATCAGACAAGAGCAGAAGAAAACCCACAAAAATCTCCATATTCAATTTGACTATCTTTGGAATTCTTCATTAAGGTTTTCATAAAATACAAAGCTCACACGTAATTGTCTACATCCACCACAAAACAGAATCAAATAAGTGGTTAGCACACAAACACATATTGATCTTTTTCATTTTTAAAAATATAAATAACAAAAATGTTCAAGGTTTTACAGTTTTCTTAATGTGTGTGTCTTTTTAAGGCTTTGCGTTGAAGACTGGTATTTGCACCCTGATGATAGGGTGCATTGCCCACCAGCAAGGAAGGCCACTGTGGATACAGTCCTGAGGGTGGCACACACTGGTCTCTGCTGCTTCAGCCTGTGAAAACCTACACGGTCAAACCCCCTCCCATCAGGTCAGTGTCACGAATGTCCCCCTTTTACTGCAGAACGAATACAGAGCGGGAAGGCCCCAGCCGCATGCAAGCTCGGGAGACCAACTGTGAAAGGCAAGGGAGGAGAAAGATGGGCTTCTTTCAGGGTGCAGTCTCTTACTTCTACCCCAGAAGCCCCCCAGTAACCCACAGTTCAAACTGCAGTTGCAGTGAGACATCTTTTAGATTAAATAGTGTTGAGTGTGGTATCTTTTGGGTGGGTCTTTCAGGAGAGGGTTAAAGTGGAGAGGTCAAGGTTGGGAAAATGCCCCTGAATACAGAGTCCCCCACGGGAGTCACATGGCCGGTGAGGGCTGGGGGCAGGGAGATGGCCCCTGCCTTGGGCCTGAAGTCCGAGGGAAGTGACTCCAGCAGACACTTGACCTGCTCCTGGCCCAATTTGATCTTGTCATCCAGCTTCCGCTGCTCGATGAGGAGTGTGGACTTCATTTTCACGAAGTGCTGGTAGTCCTGGAGCTGCTCGGCTGACAGGTAATTGGCCAGGATGGCCAGCACTGCGCGCTCCCTCCGGTCCAGGTTCTCCTTGAGCTCACGAGCATCCTCATGCTGCCCAGCCAGAATCTTCCTCTTCTCATTCAGAGAGCTCTGCCAGGGTAAAGCGACAGGGAAGTCAGCCAAAAACACAGGGAAGCAAATGGGCCAGGCTCCTGCATGCAGCCTCTTCAGGACTGCAGACCCCTTTTCTACTCAACAGTGCCTTTGTGGACCAGGCTAGGGACAAGGGCTTTCAAGTTTAGTATCCTATGTGAATACTACGATGGTTGAGTGGCTTTGGTAACAACCTGACCCTGTTAGGTCTATACTTAGTCGATTCTCAGGTTCTCTTGAGTACTTTGTGCCCCCCTGGGGACACCAGAAAGAGTCTCAGCAACCTCTCCATCTACTGAATCAAAAACTCTGCAGGGTGCTGCAGAGAGGGTGTGGTGGTCCATTTCACTGACTGCTCTTCTAGAGGACCTGGGTTCCATTCTCAGCACCCACATGGCAGTAATAGCATTCCCATGCCCTCTTCAGGTACTGCACAGGCAAAACACTCATTAGTATAAAACGAAAATAAGTAAGCTAAAAATCTTAAACCTCTGCAGAAAAGGCCTGCCCTGAAGTCTGTTTTTCTTCCTTTTGGGGGTGTGGGGTCGAGACAGGGTTTCTCTGGGTAACTTTGGAGCCTGCCCTGGAACTTGCTCTATATAGACCAGGCTGGCCTCAAACTCAGAGATGCTTCTGCCTCCTAAGTGCTGAGATTAAAGGCGTGCACCACTACTGCCTGGCGAAATCTTTTTAACAGGATCTCCAGCTGGTTCTTTAAGAAACAAACAACCGTACAAGCTTTGGGATCCCCCAAATGTAACAACAGGAACACATTCCCTTCTCTAGAGTTAGCCCACCAACCTCAGCTACTTCTGGGCCTCGAGTCAGGATTTCGAGTCTGTTCACCAAGGATGCTGACTCACACCTCTGACTTTCTAGAGATGCTCCACACAGCCTGGCACCGAACATGCAGACACACCATAAATGCCCAAGTATTTTTTTTTTAATTAAATAGTTTTTCAGACTTTTTAGAATTATTAAAGGCTCATGTGACTCTGCCCCAAATTAGCTTGTTAGATCTTTTTGAGACAGGGTCTCACTATGTTGCCCTGGCTGGCCTTGAACTCAGCAATCTGCCTACTTCAGTCTCTCCAAGAGAGTAAAGGTATGCACCATCATATCCAGCTAGCTTGTAAGATTTTTTTTTTGAAGATTTTATTTATTATGTATCCTACATTCTGCTTCCATGTATATCTGCACACCAGAAGAGGGCACCAGATCTCATAACGGATGGTTGTGAACAACCAGGTGGTTGCTGGGAATTGAACTCAGGACCTCTGGAAGAGCAGTCAGTGCTCTTAACCTCTGAGCCATCTCTCCAGCCCCATAAGATTTCTATGATGCCTAAGAAATAGTATAAAGTTAAAAGCTGAATTTTGGGCTACACAACACAGTGAATCCCTGTCTCCAAAAAAGAGTGAATTTTATAACTACCTCCATTTTCATAGTTCTTTCCCCTAATCAGAAAAAGACCCAATATAGTCCAGAGACATTGAATTAAACAAGCCATATACTTCCCACCTGTGTCTCAGATAAACTAGGGATTCTGAAGTTTATGGACATTTCTCCCCTATCCCATGACATATGAATATGCTGGATTTGGGTATTTATTTGCTACTGATATTCTTAGTTTCTCAGAGGAAACTGATGCAGCATGGTATGGATCCAGGGCTCCATATGAAGCATGAAACCCAGGGTCTGTCACAACAGCACTATCCTTCCAGGTAACATACAGTGGAGTCATGCCAGTAGTGTACCCGCCCACGGCCTGGCCCTTCATGCAGATTCCCTGGAGGGCAGCCTGCCCCTTCTCCCAATAGTCCTGTGGGCTCTCCTCTCTCAGCCATCTGTCTAGCATCATGTCTGTCTATCCTCTCTCTCAAACATCTGACGTCATCTTTATCTCCTTGAGAAGAAACACATGGGTCCTGTGCATCTAGTTCCCTAACTGCCAGCACTGCATCTTGCACAGGAGATGCTTGCTCAGCTCCACAGTGATTGTCACCTGAGAGAAGGGATTGTGTCTAACGTCTCCCCTCTATGGACACAGGCTCAGAGGACACATACCCTTTCTTCTTTACTTGCGTCTTCACCTAGGCCACTAAGGACATTCTCCACTCGGGCGAGGCGTCCAGAGAGTGAGAGCAGTAGGTTGACCACCTTGTCCAAGTCCCCTATGAACATCTTGTACTTGTCAAACTCATTGGGCTTGCAGAGCTCACTGATCAGGGCCTCCACCTCTTCTCCCAGGGCATTGTTCAGCTTGATGTCCATGAGCAGGCTCCCTTTGGCTTCCTGGAGGGTCTCGAGCTTGTGGGTGAGGCTTCCGATGAGCTCAGCCTGGAACAACAGGAGAGCCACATAGCAAAGATGAGCCAGCAGCCTCCTAACCCCATCCTACCTTTAAGATTCAGCTAAAAGTGTCTCTGCTCTATGAGGACTAATGACTCAACGTTAGAACGTTTTTCTGGCCTTTCCCTGAATGTCCGTCTACAACTGCTGTTCCTTGAGCCTATTCAGCATTCACCTGACAACACTTGATTACACACTGCCTCACATGTTTCCCTACTGTGTCATGGTGCCTGCAGTTCTGCCCTTCCCACTGGTTTATTAAATTCTCATTCAAAGTCCTTTCGTGACGTGTTCTTATTGGATACAAAACCATGAGTTAGAAGGCAGGGCAGACATCCTCTCTTACAGAGAAGCCACCAAACAGGAGTGAAGCTTCTTGCCCACAGTTTGTGGCTGAGTATTAGCTGACATATGTGCTATATGCCACACAGAGCAGTCTCCAATATTCCCCATGGAACAGGTGAGCATGAGACTTGGTGAGGGGCCCACCTAAGGCACGTGCAATATCAGGGTTATCCTCACAAAACCATTACAAACCCCGATGCCAGAACTTCAGAGAGAACAGATTTGCTCAGGTTGTCGGCTGATCTCCAAATGTGCGTACTATTGAGCACACGTACATTAAACATAAGTACTATATATAATATTTTTCAAAAAGAAAACACAGGACCAGAGAGCCAGCTTATCAGGTTAAGAGGCTTGCCGTGCAGGGTTAGTACCTGAGTTCCTGGAGCTCGTAGAAACACGAGAGTGACCCACAAAGCTGCTCTAATGGTCACCTGCAGCATGCCATGGCACACGAGCCTTAGACACACACTATGCATGTGTGTCTAAGGGGGGAGGGAGGGAGGGGAGAGACTGAGATTGTAACTACATACCAGTGTCCAATGGGAGCTACTTAATTTGTAAACCTCTGACATTTACCCACTTGGCTTCTCATCTGGCAAACTGTTAACTCAGGCAGTGTGAGATGCTATTTCTATGGATTCTTTTTCTAAACATAGTTCAACACATCCTCCCCTCTCACCATCTGCACACAAAACATCCTGCTGGGCCTCTCCATCCCCCTCACCACCCGATGAACACAGACTGAGTCAGCAGCTGGCTCTGACATGATCACTGTCAGGCAGGCACTTGACCTGTGCCACCAGCTACCCATACCACCTGCCTAAAGCCTGCAATCATGTCTTCATCACTCAGCTCAAGCTCTGTGCCAGGCAGAACCATGTCTTATGCCTCAACCACTGCTTCAACAACCCAACAACACAGTATTGTCATCATCCCAGTGTCAACGATAGGCACAGCGAGGTGAACAGAGGGTACAGACCATGCCCAATCCCATACAGTACGTGGCAGAGCCAGGTTTAAACCCAGGGTGCAGACTTCAGTGACCACCTTCAAATACCTCACAGGGATGTTATGAAGCTCAAAATAAAGCTTGTGTGAACACACTGGAAACCAAACATACCAGACACTTCCTGTTTTCTGGGCTCCTAAGACAATATTAATTATGCATAAAATAACTAAAGTTAATACATAAAAATATTGAAACAGTGGTTGAAAACACCCTAATTGTGGTGAGAGGCACCTGTCCATAGACTTGAAGCTCAGCAAACACCACCACCACAGCAAGGTGATAATAGCCGAGCACCACGGCCATGTGGTGAAGGGAGGCAAGAAGCCACGATGGAGCAGATCACATTTAAAGCTGGACATTACTTCTCAGCAGTAACGAAGAATGCAACATGTCTACACAATGGAAGACTAGAGAATGGGCAGCCCAGAATTCTGTACCCAGTGAAAACAACCTTCAGCAATGACAATGTCCTGGAGACACACAGGCAGATCTATTCTGAAGGAATTTTTCTCAGAATGAGGAAGCAAGGCAAGAGGGGAACCTGGAACTCCAGAAGTGAAGTGCAACAGAAATGGGAGGCAGAGAGCTAAGGAGCCACAGCTGCCTCTTGGGACCCCATGGCAACAGCTGTCTTCAAGGGCAATAGAGCACAGTAGTTTTTGATGCTGCTGTCATTCATTTCACTATTAAATGTGCCAATAAAGTATTGGTGGAACATTGGATAAAGAAAGACTAGGGAAGCACACAAAACTGTACAGCCCACACAAGGACTGGAACTAAATAGAGCTAATTTACTTCCTGAGAGGGTGACTTAATCCTATAAAGTAATGAAAAAGCAGCTCAAACATAAAATGAGGAGCTGGAGCGATGGCTCAGCTGCTAAGAGCACGTGTTGCTCTCACAGAGGATCCAAGTTCCATTGCTAGCACACACATGGAGTTCCAGAGGATTTGATAGTCTTTTCTGCCCTTCACAGACACCAGGCATGTATGTGGTAGCCATAAATACAGGCAAAACACCTATGCGCATAAATAATAAAATCTTTAAAAAATGAAGATATCTCTTACAGAGAAGCCACCAAACAGGAGTGAAGCTTCTTGCCCACAGTCGGAGGCTGAGTATAGCTGACATATGTGCTATATGCCACACAGAGCAGTCTCCAATATTCCCCATGGAACAGATGAGCATGAGACTTGGTGAGGGGCCCACCTAAGGCACGTGCAATATCAGGGTTATCCTCACAAAACCATTACAAACCCCGATGCCAGAACTTCAGAGAGAACAGATTTGCTCAGGTTGTCGGCTGATCTCCAAATGTGCGTACTATTGAGCACACGTACATTAAACATAAGTACTATATATAATATTTTTCAAAAAGAAAACACAGGACCAGAGAGCCAGCTTATCAGGTTAAGAGGCTTGCCGTGCAGGGTTAGTACCTGAGTTCCTGGAGCTCGTAGAAACACGAGAGTGACCCACAAAGCTGCTCTAATGGTCACCTGCAGCATGCCATGGCACACGAGCCTTAGACACACACTATGCATGTGTGTCTAAGGGGGGAGGGAGGGAGGGGAGAGACTGAGATTGTAACTACATACCAGTGTCCAATGGGAGCTACTTAATTTGTAAACCTCTGACATTTACCCACTTGGCTTCTCATCTGGCAAACTGTTAACTCAGGCAGTGTGAGATGCTATTTCTATGGATTCTTTTTCTAAACATAGTTCAACACATCCTCCCCTCTCACCATCTGCACACAAAACATCCTGCTGGGCCTCTCCATCCCCCTCACCACCCGATGAACACAGACTGAGTCAGCAGCTGGCTCTGACATGATCACTGTCAGGCAGGCACTTGACCTGTGCCACCAGCTACCCATACCACCTGCCTAAAGCCTGCAATCATGTCTTCATCACTCAGCTCAAGCTCTGTGCCAGGCAGAACCATGTCTTATGCCTCAACCACTGCTTCAACAACCCAACAACACAGTATTGTCATCATCCCAGTGTCAACGATAGGCACAGCGAGGTGAACAGAGGGTACAGACCATGCCCAATCCCATACAGTACGTGGCAGAGCCAGGTTTAAACCCAGGGTGCAGACTTCAGTGACCACCTTCAAATACCTCACAGGGATGTTATGAAGCTCAAAATAAAGCTTGTGTGAACACACTGGAAACCAAACATACCAGACACTTCCTGTTTTCTGGGCTCCTAAGACAATATTAATTATGCATAAAATAACTAAAGTTAATACATAAAAATATTGAAACAGTGGTTGAAAACACCCTAATTGTGGTGAGAGGCACCTGTCCATAGACTTGAAGCTCAGCAAACACCACCACCACAGCAAGGTGATAATAGCCGAGCACCACGGCCATGTGGTGAAGGGAGGCAAGAAGCCACGATGGAGCAGATCACATTTAAAGCTGGACATTACTTCTCAGCAGTAACGAAGAATGCAACATGTCTACACAATGGAAGACTAGAGAATGGGCAGCCCAGAATTCTGTACCCAGTGAAAACAACCTTCAGCAATGACAATGTCCTGGAGACACACAGGCAGATCTATTCTGAAGGAATTTTTCTCAGAATGAGGAAGCAAGGCAAGAGGGGAACCTGGAACTCCAGAAGTGAAGTGCAACAGAAATGGGAGGCAGAGAGCTAAGGAGCCACAGCTGCCTCTTGGGACCCCATGGCAACAGCTGTCTTCAAGGGCAATAGAGCACAGTAGTTTTTGATGCTGCTGTCATTCATTTCACTATTAAATGTGCCAATAAAGTATTGGTGGAACATTGGATAAAGAAAGACTAGGGAAGCACACAAAACTGTACAGCCCACACAAGGACTGGAACTAAATAGAGCTAATTTACTTCCTGAGAGGGTGACTTAATCCTATAAAGTAATGAAAAAGCAGCTCAAACATAAAATGAGGAGCTGGAGCGATGGCTCAGCTGCTAAGAGCACGTGTTGCTCTCACAGAGGATCCAAGTTCCATTGCTAGCACACACATGGAGTTCCAGAGGATTTGATAGTCTTTTCTGCCCTTCACAGACACCAGGCATGTATGTGGTAGCCATAAATACAGGCAAAACACCTATGCGCATAAATAATAAAATCTTTAAAAAATGAAGATAAGAAGTGCTGGGTGCTTTGCTACTGTAATGCAGAGGTATCTATGCTCAGGACAAAGGAAAACACTCAGCTGAAGATGTCACAACACATGGGATGGCGTATATATGGCTCCTCTCAGTGGCAGAGCACTCTGATTTCTGAGCACAAGACCCACAGAATGGGCTCAGTCAGCAGAGATCAGAATGAGAAACCTTTCGTTGGGAGAAATGTGTTGTAATGGATGTTGCAGCACACAGCCCTGAACTCACAATGCTGAAGCAGCAAGAGGGAAAATCTGATGGAGTGGCCCTCGAGTCTCTCCACTTCTGGGGGTAGCGGGGATGGTAGGGGTGGCGGAGTCCACGTGCTTGTGGTTTCATCCAGAACACTTGGGAGAGGGCCTGGGGCATGTTCTGAACAGTAAGTAGAATGACATATGCAAGTCCCTCCTGGCACCAGCAATGCTAGAGCACACATGCATGCTCACTTCTTTTGCAGAAGGCATGCCTGGGGTCTATGGAGGGCTGTAGGCAATGTGGAGGGCGTTCTGCCCTACAGACACAGTCTGCCCACATCTCCATGGTATATATGTAGGGAGGCTGTGACAACAGCAGGGTGTTTTTAAAAATGTCTGACATTTACAATTTCTGTAGGAGTACCAAATGCTAACAATTACATTTCAATCCTGTACTTTAAAGGTCTCTGAGGTACTGCAAAGAGCTGGGGGTGGGGCTGTAAAAAGGTCAGCCTTACCTCTCCTCAAAGTGACTGAACAGCTGGCCTCTTTCCCTAAGCAGAGGTGTAAGAGCCTCTAGCTTTCCTCTTGAATAAACTACAACCAGCGGCCGAGACCAGTGGCCAGGAACCTTATTGAGGTTCATTTCCAGCTGTGAGACCTTTAATAAATAACTCAACCTCTTGAAGCCTTCTTTCATCATTTACAAAATGAGAATGACAGCGACTTACCTGGCCCATCCACTCACAGGAGACCTCCTAGAGCTCTCAAGTGCCATCAGATGGGACAGGTTTTCCCTGCCTTAGAGGCTGGCAACTGTGCTCCTCAAGGACTTCACTCCCTTGGGGGAACAGCAGAACAAGCGTCCCACTCTACCTTTTTCTCGTTGACGTCCTCTTGCTCCTCCTCCTCAGGCACCTCCTCTGGCATATCTTTGATTTTGTTCAGCAGCTCTGCCTTGGCTGCAGACACACTGTAGTAGGCAGGACAGTTGACCAGCATACCCACCGCTTCCTTGTCATCGCTCCTGAAACACACGGCACAAAGTCAGAACAGCGTTTCCGCATTCGGTCCTTCAGAAATGCACAAAAACTTCCACTTAAGTCTCTCCCAGAAATGGTGACAAATGAACACATTATTTACTGATGAGTGATTATGTGCTGGGCCCCTAAAATCAGATGAGCCGAGGGTGGAAAACTCCCAAGGGCAGCGCTGGAGATGGGAGTGGGAATCAGGCTCCGAGTCATTTGGCTTCTATTCCCTTGTGATGGATTCTGATGCCTCATTTCACAGAAAGACAGTGTGGACCAGTGTGAAAGTACATCCAAGGTGCCGCACAACCCCAGAGTACCAGTCACTCCTGTCCCTCTGTGCGCCTCTGTGATCTTGCTGCTCTGGAATACATACATTTTCACCTTCAGCAAGCCACATACCATACCACACCACAAGCCTGTGAAATCAAGAGCTTGCTGGTTTGGTAACAGTGAACTAGTACAAAACCTAGTCATCAGCCGGGTATGGTGGTGCCTGTCTGTAATTTCAGTACTTGAGAGGTAAAGGCAGGAAGATCAAGAATTTGAAACCAGCCAAGGCTACTGCATTTCAAAAGAAGAGGGAGGGACGAGGAGGAGGAGGAGCTAGATCTAGAGCTAGAAAAGGAATTAAAGTAAAACACGGTGGCAGGCTCAAAGTTGTCCAAAAAACCTGGGAACTGAGAAACAGCATCTCATGCATTTGTTTTTACCATC